CGACGCCGGCGATATCGTTATCGGAGCTGTTTTGTTACAGGACTTCGGCGAAGGCCTATAGCCAATCGCATCCAAGTCACGAAAGTTACACCCGCCCAAGCGAAACTACCCGATACATGACAAGGAGATGCTTGCGATCATGCACGCCTTCAAGGTGTGGAGATGCTACCTGACGGGCGCAGACGCGACAGTACAAACAGACCATCACAGCCTACAGTACATCCGCGCACAACCACTGCTCAACCCACGACATATTCGGTGGTTGGATTTTATGGAATCCATTTCCAATATACGACACCTACAAAAAGGGGGCATCAAACATTGCAGAGCCCCTTTCTCGCCCATCTGCCCACCTCAACTCTACAATCCTCGCCCAAACCTCCCCGCTCTTAACAGGTCTATTTACCCACGGGTACCAGACAAACAAAGTCTTTACATCGGGTGCGTCCGAACAGCTCGCAACACCTAAGGGAGTCTATTATGTTAAGACAGGGACAGACCGCATCTAGGTACCAGAGTACAGCTTATTACGGGAGTTACTACTATACGAAGCCCATGTCAGCACAATTTTTGGGCACTTCGGAGTGGAGAAAGCACAGCAACAGTTGATCAGATATTATTTCTGGCCTGACGTACAAGGGGATGTGCAGCGGGATGTGGTTTCATGCAGAACTTGCCGAACCATGAAAACATCGAAGCAAAAGCCAGCTGGACAATTCCAACTGATTCCGCCACCTAAGTGTGCGTGGCAGCAGGTGATGATGGAATTTGTCACGGACTGCCTACCAAGGACAGTTGTAATGACGCGATATTTGTCGTCATCGATAAGCTGACGAAGATGGCTCACTTCACTACCTACAAGAACAGCATCTCAGCCGAAGAAATAGCCCGCCTTTTCATCGCGACCGTTGTTCGCCTTCACGGAATCCCATCTGCCATCATTTCGGACCGTGACACAAAATTCACCAGCAAATCCAGCGGAACCTCTGGGAACAGTATGGCACGCGCCTACAATTCTCCTCCTCCTACCACCCTGAGACTGATGGACAGACCGAATGAGCCAATCAGATGATGGAGTAGCTGATCCGCGCCACCTGCGATGACGTGGCCGACTCGGAGCAGCAACTGCCACTGATTGAGTTCGCATATAATAATGCCCCGTCAGCCACTACCTGATAGTCACCCTTCTACCTGAGTTACGGACAGAACCCTACAGTACCGATCATGCCCAACATCGAAAATCCTGTTCCTTGAGCCCAATAGTTCGTCGAAATATTACAGAATGCCCAGGAGCGAGCAGCCGAAGCCATTAAGCGCACGAAAGTTATTCCTAAGCGCAACGCCCATCTACACCAACGAGCATTGACTTACCAGGTTGGAGACATAGTACTGTTCGACACTCGGAACCTGCGACTGCACATCGTCCCAAAACTTCGCCCTCGTTACTGCGGTCCGTTTACAATCAGCCATATGATATCCTCCGTTACAACCCATCTTGATACCGGCCACCTGGAACGTAAGCCCATCTTTTCACGTGCAACTATTATGACCATACATCGCCAACATCAGTAAACTACCACGCCTTTGGATCAACCCGAACATCCGACCACTCGGTGAACCAACAGTCAAAACTGCGGAGGTTCTTAGCCATCAGATCAAGAACTCTCAAGAGGCTCACCTGATTGAGTTTCTACTATCCTGGAAGGACCGGACGACCTTGGAAAACAGTTGGGTGCCCTTGGCTCAGATCGAGAATTTCTCGTTTTACGAGTCTACCTCCAGTCACGCAATGTACGCGGCGTAGGCGGTTTTAGTTAAGACCATACCTTGGAGGGGGGAGGGTGTAAGGAAATTCTATTTTCTTATCACTGGTTTTAGTTAATAAGGCATACACTGCTATAACGGGGTTGCCATGCAGCTCTACCATGAAATTCAAATCGCGGTACCCAAATGTGGCCTCCTAACGAGCCGCATGCATTTTGCCCGACGTGCTGTTTCATGCCTAGATCTTGGCGCTTCGTGCCAATTTACGAACCACACGGCACAGCTCTGCTGAGCCACAACCGTGTGCTCTAAGCTAGCTGTAAGGAATTTTATTCCTTACTGGGTGGTACTGCAATCGCGTGTACCCGGACTCTCGGAAGACCAGGCTTGATCCGATTCCGACGCAACCCCGAGGCTGGCTCGCTCTGCCTCTGGCCCGTTCGACTGTGCCTGTACCCAATCTAGCCCTCCAGGGTCGTTGCCTAGCTAGAGCTCTTGCTATATAGTGCTAGGGTCCCATTCTTGTACTCGTCATTATTATTCCGCACACTCTCAGTTATTATTCTCAACGTTTGGTATCAGAGTTACTTTCCTGGTTCACCTCGCTTTGTGAGGGTAGTTGATTTCCAAGGTGTGGTTAACCCTGCGGGGCTGCAAAGAGGTTGTCCGTAAGCTAGAGTTATTAGCTCACATAACTACGATAGCGTTTGCGCCCCCCCCGGTTTCTTACCATGGCCTTCACCCTGGCTGAAAGGCGAAACATTCGCATCATGACCTAGGCCTAGCTAGACGAGGTCATGGCTCAGATGCAGGCATTGCAAGCCCGGATGGTGAGTTTGATCAGTGAAGTCGTGAGACTTCGGACGGAGAACACTGAGCTTCGCCAGATGCATGGTGAAGCGCATCAGGAGTCGCCCAGGGTCGTAGAGAATGACGTCAAGCGAGAAGCCAATGACGCGACGAGCGAGACTGTCCTTGATGAGCTCCCACATGAACTGGAGTAAGAAGACGTGTGCAGTGTGACAGTCATGAAGATTAAACTCAAGCCGACCACGCCACCCCCGTTCTACCCAATGGACAAGGTGACAACTATACAAGGGTGGCTGTTCACTTTGGAGTTATTCTTCATGGCTGCACGTGTGAATGCAGACGGCGCGCGCACTAATTATGTCATGTCGCTGCTCCAAGTACCGGCGTTGGATTGGTGGCGACAATCAGTTGGCGATTGGGACTCCGGCAGGCGTGAAGCAGGCGAAGGACGGGACTTTGGATTGTTCCAACCATTAGGCGGAAACTATATTCAGTACGACCACGATTCACACGTGGAAGCAGTGGGGCACAGCGCTGCGAGCTCGTTTTGAGCACTCATCCGCCTCAAACGGCGCTTGCATGAAGCTGTGCAACTGGCGGCTAGTGACTGCTGTTCAAGATTACACAACATCGTTCTCAGCACTTGCGGACCAAGTGGACGACCCCAGCGAAGCGGAAAGGCATGACAAATACATCAGCGGGCTGTATTTCGACATTCAGTACGGGTTGCAGCAGTCCTGGCCCAAGACGTTTGATGAGGTTGTCCAAGTGGTTTCAACAGCCGATGCACTGCAGCAGTGGGCGAAAAAGAACAACACGGATGCTGGTCATTTTTGTGTGAGAGTCTCCCCGCCCCACGACCACTGGCGTGTTTGCTCCCGATGAAGTATTTCACGGGATGCGTTTCAGATGTGACAAGCCAGGTCACCGAGCTAAATGCTGCCTAATGGCACCAAAGAAGACGAAGAACGACAAGGAAAGGCCAGGAAATGGGAAAAGTCAGTAGCAGATGGGCCCCCTACTGACGAGGCTTTGTCGCCCGAACTTCAGCGTTCCCACCAAGTTGTGGTTCCTCTACAAACTATCGACCGCACTTGGACGAATAATTGGAGCGAACTTGATGATCACCATTTGCTAGTCGAAGGTAAGGTGAATGGTAAAAAAGAAAAGTTATTTATGGATGGTAGGGCCAGTCACAACCTGATCCACGTGACAACAACGAAGCAATTGAAGCTGATGTTACAGAAATGCCTTCCCGAAATGGACACGTGATCGGTGGACGGGACTCCACTGGCAATTCGGGAGCGAGCGCGCATGGTGCGGATGAAGTGTGGCGACGATTTTGGATTCAGCATGCCCATGCTGCCAACGATGCTGGACGGGTGCGATATCCTTCTCCGACGCGATTGGCTACGAAAATACAATCCACGAATTGATTGGACAACGGGCAAATACAGCGTGAATTGTGCGAACAGGTGGCGCGTACTTCCCTGCTGGCGTATGCGAGATCCTGTGTCGACACGTATCACGCTCTACAGAGCAGTAAAAACGGGAGCTGATTTGTACGCCATTTATCTGCACATAGCAACGGCCGACGACACGCCGAAATACATTGACACGCTCTGTGCCAGGGTACAGTACTTGCCGAGCTCGCTGCACTAATCGCCAGCACGTTAGCAGTCACTAAACCAGCGGCCGTCCCCAGTGTCCGCCCGATGGCCGAACCGACACTTAAGCCTTTCCGGCTTTTGGAACATCGCATCTGCCTCGACACCACCAGACGCCACATGGATTTTCTTGCCCGCTGGGCCGACCGTACAAGCGAAGACGACACATGCAGTAATCGCGTACACTCGAACTCTCGGAAGACCAGGCTCGGTCCGATTCCGACCCAACCCCGAGGCTGGCTCGCACTGCCTCTGGCCATTTCGACCGCGCCTGTATCCAACCTAGTCCTCCGGGTTCGTCACCTAGCTAGAGCCTTTGCGATATAGTGCTGGGCTCCCATTCTTGTACTCGTCTTTATTCTTCCGCGCACTTTGAGTATTATTCATAAGACTAGCTATATCCATGCTCCTTGCTGTTTTGATGTGAAACACTTGTATTGTTTTCCTCGCTACTCAAATATTGGACACACCCGAGAACCTGCAGGACCCGTTTTCACGAGGGCAGTGATCCACACCGAGTGTGGAGGCGATGCCACTCGTACGAATCCACATTAGGAGAATCGCCCCCATCTGAGCCTTGCACCCCAGTACAGTTCTGAAACTCTTGGCGAATTTCCGAGCTGCGTTTTGAGCAGATCCAAGCGAGTGAGAGCGGGTTGCCTTCCACGCAGCGCCCAAGCTTTCGTGGGGTCGCCTTGCCTCGCCTTCCCACGCCAAGCTTGTTTGTGCGCCCATGAACGTGCTTCCACAGCGTCGAGCAACAAGAAGGCACTGTTCGTCACGTCACCACCATTATCTCCCTTGTGTTCCGCTGTAGTGGCTTGGCTATCAGGTTGGGTTGCGAAGTAGACCAACAGACGCATCTTCCGACTGTGATAGCTGGGGCATCTGGGCACGGTAGGGATGTAACGAGCACCATAGCAGGCGCTAAGAGGCCGAGAGAGCGAGAGAGCTCGAGACAGAGAGAGAGTGCGAGACAGAGCGGTACGAGAGAAAGCCAGCACCTTTTGCTGTAGCCTGTCGCAGGCACACCCGTTGGGTCGGACATAGCTGGCGTCCATGCTGCGTCGCTTAAACGATTCCATCGCACTGAGAATCGACTACAAGCTTAGTTTTGAAGCGCCTCACAAATCGAATGAAAACTTCGTCTGAAGACTGCGCCGTATGAGATACTGCATCGTACGGCGACTCCGAGCTACTCAAAATGCTCGAGATAAAGACGCGTCACCATTCGAAAGGTTGATTGACAGCGGCCGTTCGATAGGAGCGACCTAGCGCCCATGCCGCATCGTCTAAACAAGATTGCTGCATCTCGAGGCGTCTACTAAAACGCCTCGAGAGTGGTATTGTATGATTGCTTTAACTCGCGGCGCCTCACAATGCTCCGCATCTCGACCGGCGCTGACAACGGCAATAGCGGCGCAGGATCCCCCCCCACAGAAGTCGCGGAAGACGGCGTCGTTCTCCCCGCCGCGCGCCCGTCCCCTTTGTCTCCCACGCCTTCTCTCTCCCCCACGCCTTCCCCCTTTTCCCCCCAACCCTCCCCGCTCTCCCCCACGCACTCCCTATTTTCCCCCTACCCCTCCCCTTTCTCCCCCACGCCTCCGCCGTTCTCCCCGTCATCCGCCTCCGCGCAAATCAGCCGGCGTAGGCTGCACCTGAGCTACGACTTCGACGGAGAGAGCAGCAGCGGGGGGGAGGGCGGGGCAGGCGGAAGCGGAAGCGGAAACGGGAGCAGGCGCAGGGTGCGCCAGGGGCACCGCAGCTTCTCCCTCCGCTCCGGAGTGCTCTCCCCCCCCGATGCCTCCCCCTTAGGCTCCCCCGCCGCCAGGCCCGCCAGTCCCCTGGGCAGTCCGAGCAGGAGCGCGCTTGGGGGGGAAAGCGCGCTTGGCGGGGGCGGAGGCTGGGGGGGAAGCCCCGCGGGATTGGCGCTTAGACCCTTGAAGCTGGGGAGGGGGAGTCGGGTGGAGGGCGCAGTCCGCCCCGCGGAAGGGGAAGTGGGGGGAAGCGGCGGAGGTGGCGGGGATAGAAGCGCAGGGCGGCTTGACGGCGGTGGCCGGGGGAACGAGGGAGGGTCGAGTGGGGTGATGGTGGATGGTGCGACGAGTATGGGGGAGAAGAGGCGTGAGGGGGGAGAAGGAGGTGGTAGGGGCGAGGGCGGGCAGGGTGAGGAACGAAGGGCGGAGAAAGAGGCGAAAGAGCAACAGCAAGGGCATGACGACGCAGCAGCAGCAGCAGCAGCAGCAGGAGGGGCACCAACCCCAATGGCCGCCCCTGTGTCCCCCAGCTGGCTGGGGGGTTGGGCGGGCTTACTGCTGGGGACAGGCGGGGGGGAGACGGGCACGGGGGAAGAGGGGAAGGGGGAGGCGGATAAGGGGGAGGCAAGCAAGGGGGAGGATGGCGCGGATAGAGTGGGCGGACTGAGCTTGCTGTCCCCGTTTGCCTGGGGGGGGGGGGGCTGTGGGGGGATGGTGGCAGGGGGAAAGGGGAGGGGAATACGGGGGACGGGGAAGGGAGGAAGCGCGGGGAGGGGAGAGAGGGCGGGGAGGGGAGAGCAGCTGGCGGGGAGAATGAGAGGGGCGGCATGGGGGAGACGAAGGGCTTGGGGGGGCTGAAGGGCGCTTGGGAGGGGGAAGAGGAGGGCGCAGAGGAGGGGGAAGAGGAGGAAGCAGGGGAGGAGGGAGGGGAGAAAATGCAGGAGGGGCGTTTGGAAACGGGGTCAGAAAGTGGTGATGCGCGGCGTGGAAGGGAGGAGGGCGAGGGGAGCAGTGGTGAGGGGGAGGGGGACAATACGGCGGACAATGGCAAGAAGGAGTTCGCTTTCAGGACAGAGGGCGCTGGCGAAGGGGAGGTAGCGAGAGGTAGGGCGATACCGGATGGTGATTATGAATCGAATATTGAGGATTCCAGTAGCGAGGATAGTGAAAATGAGGAGGCCAGTAGCAATGATAGTGGCAGTGAGCAAGCCAATAGCGAGGATAATGGGAACGAGGAAGCTCATAGCGATGGTAGGGAGCATGGGAAAGCCAATGGCGAGGACACTGGGAGTGAGGAAGCTAGTACCGAGGACAGTGAGAGTGACAAGTCTAGTATGAAGGACAGTGAAAGAGAGGAGGGGAGAAATGAGGAGAGTGAGAGTGAGAGTGATAGTGATAGTGCTAGTGAGAGTGAAAGTGAAATTGGGAGTGATGAGTCTGATGAGAGTGTGGCTAAAGAGCAAGATGGGGGGAGTGAGGAGTGGGGAGAGAGTGAGAGCGACATGGATGAGGATGCCAGTGAGGGGCTTGGAGGCCTGAAGGCTGGGGCGGAGCGGGGTGTGGGAGAGCAGGGTGGGGGGGAGCGGGGAGTGGGGGAACAGGCTGGGGATGATTGCGTGGAGGCAGACTGCGTGGAACATTCGTTGGCACCCGGTGCAATGCAGGCGAGCAGAGAGGGAGGGGACAGCGAGACACAGGAGGACGAGGGAGGCGAGGTGAGGCAGGAGGACGAGGAGGAATGGGAGGAGAGGGAGAAGGAAAAGGATGCCGATGAGGAAAGCGAGGAGGAGGCAAGGAGGACCCAACAGGAGGAAGCGGAGAAGGGTGAGGGGGGAATGGTGGAAGAGGAGGAACAAAGGGAAAGAGGAAAGGAGGTGCACGCGGTTTGGGAGGCAGCTCAAGACTCTGCTGGTGGTGCTGGTGCTGGTGCTGCTGGTGATGATTTCGGTGGTGATGGTGGTGGTGAAGAGAGAGGAGACTCTAGGACAAGCCTGGATGAGAGCAGCAGGACAGGGAGAAGCAGTGAGAGCGAGGGGGGCGATGAGGGAGAGGAGAAATTTGAGGAGGGAAGGAGGGAGAGCGTGGAGGGAGAGGAGAAGCATGAGGAGGAAAGCAGTGAGAGTGAGGAGGAGGAGCAGCGGGTAGAGCGTGGAATGGAAGAGCCGTTGGGTGGCGTTGAAGCGGCAGCTCCAGCTGGATCCGTGGCTGCTGTGGGTGGCGTTGGGCAGGGGCAGAGTGAGGGGAGTGAGAGCGAGAGTGAGGAGGGAGAGGAAGAGCGGGTGGAGAGTGAGAGTGAGATCGAGAGTGAGAGTGAGAGTGAGAGTGAGAGTGAGTTCGAGAGTGTAAGTGAAAGTGAGAGCGAGGGGGAGAGTGCGGAGGGAGAGGAAGGGCAGGTGAAGTGTGACATGGACGGGCCCTTGAATGGTGTTGAAGCAGCAGCACCAGCTGGATTGGTGGTTGCTGAGGGTGGTGTGGGGCAGGGAAAGAATGAGGGGAGTGAGCGTGAGAGTGAGAGTGAGAGTGAGAGTGGGAGTGGGAGTGAGAGTGAGAGTGAGAGTGGGAGTGAGGACGAGGAGGGAGAGGAAGGAGGGGTGGAGCATGAAAGCGAGGTGCCCTTGGGTGGTGTTGAAGCTGCAGCACCAGCTAGACCGGTGGCTACTGTGGGTGGTGTGGGACAGGAGCAGGGTGAGGGGGGTGAGAGTGAGAGCGAGGAGCGAGAGGAAGGGCGGGTGGAGGGTGAGAATGAGAGTGAGAGCGATGAGGGAGGGGAAGGGCAGGGGCCCTCGGATGGTGTTGAAGCGCCAGCGCCAGCTACACCAGTGGCTGCTGTGGGTGGTGTGGGTCAGGGGAAGAGTGAGGGGAGTGAGAGTGAGAGCGAGAGTGAGACTGAGAGCGAGAGTGAGAGCGAGAGTGAGAGTGAGAGTGAGAGCGAGAGTGAGAGTGGGAGTGAGAGTGATTTTGAGAGTGAGGAGGGAGACGAAGGGCAGGTAGAGTTTGAAAGGGAGCAACCCTTGGATGGTGTTGAAGCAGCAGCCGCACCTATGCCAGTGGGTGCTGTGGGTGGCGTGGAGCAGGGAGCGACTGAAGGGAGTGAGAGCGAGAGTGAGAGTGAGGAGGGAGACGAAGGGCAGGTGGAGCATGGAAGCGAGGGGCCCTTGGGCGTTGTTGAAACGGTAGCACCAGCTACACCGGTGGCTGCTGCGGGTGGTGTCGGGCAGGGGCAGAGCAAGGGAAGTGAGAGTGAGAGTGAGAGTGAGGAGGGAGAGGAAGGGCGGGCGGAGAGTGTGAGTGAGAGCGAGAGGGAGAGTGAGGAGGAGGGGGTGGAGCATGAAAGCGAGGGGCCGTTGGGCGCTGTTGAAACGACAGCGCCAGCTACACTGGTGGCTGCTGTGGGTGGTGTGGGGCAGGGGCAGAGTGAGGGGAGTGAGAGTGAGAGTGAGAGTGAGATTGAGAGCGCGAGTGATGAGGGTAAGATCGAGGAGAGTAAGGCTGGGAGGAGTGAGGTGGGTGAAAGTGAGGAGAGTGAGATTGAGATTGAGAGTGAAAGTGAGAGCGCGAGCGCGAGTGAGGGGGGTGGAGATGGGCGAGAGGAGGCAGGGCAGGTGATTGAACGGGAGAAGGAGGGTGGAAGCGACAACGGGAGATGGAGTGAGACTGACAGTGGGAGTGAGATTGGGAGTGAGAGAGAGGAAGGACAGGAAAGGAGGCTGGCTGACACGGGGAAAGGCAGAGATGACGGTCATAATTCTCCAACTGCTCCTTCGGCTGCCGTTGCTGTTCCTGATTCACCTGCTGCTGGCGCTACTATCTCTGCTGCTGTCGCTGCTGCTGCTGCCAATTCTGGTGCTGGGTCTGGTGGTGGTGGTGTATCTGGTGCTTGTGACGATTTGGAATTGGAACAAATAGCCGATAAGAAGAGCGCGCGGCGCAGCGAGGAGGACTGGACGTGCGGGGATGGTGGCCCCACGGGGCTAGAGGATACTGAAGCTAGCGCTCATGCCGCCAACGAAGCTGGAGTATCAGGCAGCGCAGCTGTTCTGGAGGTGCTGAGTCCTGTGTTTTCTGGAGAGCCGGGCAGAGGTGCCCTTCTGACGCCATGGGGCGAGGGTGACAGCAGCAGGGGTGCCTCTGGTGGATCCCCTCCTTTGAATGCTCTTGGCGCTGCTGGTGCAGTGGATGCAGGGAGTGAGGCATGTGGGGTGAGTGAGAAAGAGAGGCACACTGCGCATGAGGGAGAGGGGCGCATGGTTGTGGAGGGAGGAGGAGGTGCAGTGCAGGACATGTTTGAGGAGGGGGAGCTTACTGGGCTGGGGGTAGAGAAGGGGAGCGGGCCCGTAGAGAGGGATGCAGCGCGGGCGGCAGAGCAGGACATGTTTGTGCAGGAGGAGCTGGCTGCGCTGGGGGTGGCGGAGGGGAGTGGGCTGGTAGAGGAAGAGGGACGGGGGACGACAGTGGAGAGTGAAGGAGTGAGGGAGGTTGCGAGCGAGGGGGAGGCGGATGTGGGAAGTGAGGGAGCGCGGGCTGCGGTGCAGGATATGTTTGTTGAGGGGGAGTTGATTGCCCTGGGGGTGGAAGACGGGGGGAGGCAAGTACAGAGTGAGGGGCAAAAGAGGCCAGTGCTGAGCGAGGGAGAGGGGCATGTGGTGAGTGAAGGAGCGTGGGCGGCAATGCAGAGGGAGGGAGAGGTGTATGTGGTGAGAGAGGGGGGGAGGGCGGCTGTGCAGGACATGTTTGTTGAGGCAGAGTTGGTTGCGCTGGGGGTGGATGAAGGGAGCGGGGGGGAGGGAGGGAGGGCACCGGGTGAGAGCGAGGGAGAGAAGAGGCCAGTGCGGCGTGCGGGAGAGGCACATGTGGTGCGAGAGGGAGGGAGGGGTCCAGTGCAGGACATGTTTGTTGAGGGGGAGTTGGTTGCGCTGGGGGTGGATGAAGGGAGGAGGCCAGTAGAGAGGGAGGCAGGGAGGGCGGCGATTGAGAGTGAGGGAGAGAAGAAGGCAGTGCAGGACATGTTTGTTGCGGCGGAGCTTGCTGGGCTGGGGCTGGAGGTAGGAGAACGACAAATGCAGAGTGAGGGAGAGAGGATGCCAGTGCAGAGTGATAACGTGAGGGTGGCAGTGCAGGACATGTTTGTGGAGGCAGAGCTTGCTGAGCTAGGCGTGGATGGGGAAGGCGTGGAGAAAGAGTGTGACGACGGGGTGGGGGGGTCAGATAAAGCGGTGGGGATGGAGGGGCTTTCAAGTGGACTGCAGTTAGCACCCTCTGCCTCCGTTGCTGCCACTGCCGCGGCCTCTTCCTCTGCCTCATCTTCGCCCTCTGCCCTGCCCACTCTGGGCAGCTTTCACATCCCCCGCATCCCCCACGTCGCCCAGAGCCCCACCAGCGGTCTCTGTCCCCGCAGTCCCACCACCCCCACCAGCGGGGTGAGTCCGAACGCGCGGCAGCGCATGCAGCGGGCATCGCAGAAGCTGCGGTTCCTCACCTACCTGCGGGCTCAGGTGCGAGAGAGAGCGCATGGTGAGGCTGATGGGGCGCAGGTGAGAGCGAGAGAAGCTGCTGGGGAGGAGGGCACGCAGCTGAGAGGCAGAGCGGATGCTGAGGCTGGCGGAACTCAGCTTAGGGACAGGGCGGATGTCGTAGAGCGGGGCGCGCAGCCGAGAGACAGGGCGGATGCTGAGGCCAATGGGACGCAGGTCAGCGGCAGGGGAGCTGCTGTGGCAGAGCACTATCAGCTGAGCGGCATATCGGATGCTGAGGCTGATGGCATGCAGGTCAGAGACACAGACGCTGTTGATGCAGAGCGCTCTCAGCTGAGCGACACCACGCATGCTCAGGCTGACGAGACGCCGCTCAGAGGCAGAGAGGCTGGTGATGCTGATGAGACTCAGCGTACCGACAGTTGGGGTGCCGAGGAGGAGCGCATGCGCATTGCAGGCGCACCGGGTGCTGAGGAGGAGCGCACTCACGTTCAAGAGAGAGTGGATGCTGCGGAACGACACTCTCGCCTTGGGGACATAGCGGGTGTCAGGGAGGAGAGGTTGGGGTCCGAGGAGGCACGAGGTGGTGAGGAAGAGGCGGGAGGAGACACTCAGCTTAGAGACAAGGCGAGTAGTGAGGAGAGCACGCGTGTTGACAGTACACTGGGTGTTGAGGAGGGGCGCATGAGTTTTGACCACACACCAGGTGGTGAGGAGGAGGCAGGGGGAAGAGACACTCACCTTCGGGACAAGACGGATTTGGGGGAGGGGGATATGGGAGAGGAGGTGGGGGCGGAGGAAGGGGAAGGGGGAGAGGAGAGAGAGAGTAAAGAGACGGTAGGGGGAGAGAGGCGGGAGAGTGAAGAGGGAGGGGGCGAGGGAGAAAGGGAGGAGAGAGGCGAGGGGAGCGAGGAGGGAGAAGTTGGGGAGAGTAAGGAGGAGGGCGAATTGGGAGAGTGGGATGGGAGTGAAGTGAGGGGAGAGGAGGAAGAGGTGAGGGAGAGTGAAGAGGAGAGTGAAGAGGAGAGTGAAGAGGAGAGTGAAGAGGAGAGTGAAGTGGGAGAGGAGAGGGAGTGTGAAGAGGGAGAGGAGAGGGAGAGTGAAGAGGGAGAGGAGAGGGAGAGTGAAGTGAGGGAGGAGGAGGGAGATGGTGGGAAGAGTAAGGAGGAAGAAGGGGGGCGGCATGAGGAGGAGAGGTGGAGGGGTGGTGAGGTAGGGAAGGATGCTGGTGCGTGGGACAGGGGAGAGGAGGAGGGGGATGAGAAGCATGTGGCACAGGAAGCAAGAGGGAGTGAGAGGCAGCGGTTGCTACACACAGAGGGAGGGAGTGAGAAGCAGGTGGTAGAGGAGGGAGGGAGTGAGAAGCAGGTGGTAGAGGAGGGAGGGCTTCTAGAGGATGGCACGAGGCACAGCACACGCAGGAACAAGGGCGAGTCAGCAGGCACGGAAGAGATGGAGCATACCTCTGCAGGCAGGCTCGCTTTTGAGTCGACTGATGAGCACAGCTCTACAGTCGAGGCGATTGGCAGTAGACAAGGGGCAGAGGGAAGGGAAGGAGAGGAGGGGGTTGCTGAGAGAGCAGGTGATGCTGACTCCAGTCTTATCACTGCCCGACCAGCTGCTCCTTCTTCTTCTTCTTCTTCTTCTTCTTCTGCTGCTGCTGATGCTGATGCTGCTGCTGCTGCTGATGCTGCTGCTGCTGCTGCTGCTGATGCTGATGCTGCTGCTGCTGCTGCTGCTGCTGCTGCTGCTGCTGCTGCTGCTGATGCTGATGCTACTGCTGCTGCTGCTGCTGCTGCTGCTGCTGCTGCTGCTGCTGATGCTGATGCTGCTGATGCTGCTGCTGCTGCTGCTGCTGCTGCTGCTGCTGATGCTGATGCTGCTGCTGATGTCAGGGCTGCTGCCGCTGGTGTGGCTGGGATGAATGCCGACTCGCCCACATTCAGTCCGGATTCGCCCACATTTGGTGCCAGCCTTATCAGTGCTGCTGCTGCTGCTGCTGATGCTGATGCGGATGCTGATGCTGCTGATGATGCTGATTCTGATTCTGATGGTGCTGATTCTGATTCTGATGATGCTGATGTTGCTGTTGCTGCTGCTGTTGCTGGTGCGGGTGGGACGAGCGCTGACTCCCCTTCATTCAGTCCGGATTCTCCCACATTTGGAGTCACTGCTACCAGCCTTGTCAGTGCTGCACCCGCCGCCGCTGCCGCTGCTGCTGCTGCTGCTGTAGCTGCTGGTGTGGGTAGTTCGAGCACTGACTCTCCCACTTTCAGTCCGGATTCTCCCACATTTGGAGTCACTGGTACCAGCCTTGTCAGTGCAGCACCCACAGCTGCTGATGCTGCTGCTGCCTCTGCTGCGGCGGATGCTGCTGGAGTGGGTGGGTCGAGCGCTGAGTCCCCCACTTTCATTCCGGATTCTCCCACCTTTGGAGTTACCGACGCCACCAGCATCACGGCTGCACCAGCTTCTGCTGCTGGTGGAGTGAGTGGCACGAGCGCTGACTCCCCCACATTTTTTCCGGGTTCTCCCACCTTTGGAGTCACTGGCACCAGCAGCATAACCGCTGCGCCGGTTTCTGCTGGTGGTGGAGCGAGTGGGGCGAGCAGCGAGGGCAGCAGCAACAGCAGCGGCTGGGGACGAGTGTCTGCCGCCACAGGCGCAGTGGATGCCTTTCCGCCGCCCACTGTGGATTTCTGGTCGGCTGAAGCTGATGCCGGCACCGACGGTGATGCTCTCAGCGATACGGATAATGACACTCACAGTGATGCCAATCGTGACGCTCACAGGGATGCCAATTGTGACACTCACAGTGATCTCGACGCGCCTGGCAGTGGTGCTGCTGGGGGGGAGGCGCAAGCAGGAGAGACACGGCAGGAGGCACGGCAGGGGGAGCAGAATGGCGAGCAGAGGGTGGGGCAGCAGGAGGCACAGCAGGGCGGACAGCAGGAGGCACAGCCGAGCGGGCAGCAGGAGGCACAGCAGGGCGGGCAGCAGGGCGAGCGCGTGGACTGCCTGATAGAGGACTCGGTGCACGCCATGCTGTTCGGGGTGCGCTCTCGCCTGTGGACCCTCCCCCACCCACCTTCGGCGTTGGCCCCCCACTTGCTTCACCACACCCCCTTTATCTCCGTTCCTCACAACCATACTGCCACTGTATCTTCTCTAGCTGTCATTCTATCTTCTCTCATGTGCCACACCCTCTCCCTCGCATCTCCCATTGTGCATCTCCCCATTGTGCATCTCCCCATTGTGCATCTTCCCATCTTGCATCTCCCACCTGCCCTGTCCCACCCCACCCTGTCCGTCCCCAACCCTCCTCTCCCCACATTGCAGGCGGATGGGGGCTCAGGCGCTTCAACTCCAGCCAGCTCGCACCGTATGTGCCGCTCTCTGCCATCCCTCATGCCCGCTGCCATCTCTCATGCCCGCTGCCCTCTCGCATGCACACTGCCTCCTTTCCTCTCCACCATTCACCTCTCATCTCGCCTGCCTTCCGTCCTCTTCCTCGTGGATCGGCGCTTTCTTCAACGAGCTCCTCTCCTCCCAAGCTTTCCTGCCAATTCTCCTCCTTTCCTCCCCCCTGCCTTGCTCCTTCCTCGCCTTCTCTCGACGCCCCCCTCACATGTTCTTGTTCTCTTGGGTGTGTCAATGTGTCTCAATGTGTCTCAATTGCATGCTCTTTCGAACCTCCGGTTGATGGTGTGCGTGTGTGCATTTGTGCATATGTGTGATGGGGATGTGTGTTTGACGAGTTTTGCATATGCATGATTGCCTGCTTTTTCTGTATGTGCGTGAGTGTGTGTGAGTGTGTGTGTGTGTGTCTGTGTGGGTGCGTTTTTGTGTGTGTGTGTGTCTGTGTGTGCATGTGATATATATATGAGCAGCAGTATCACCAGCAGCACCGCTACCATCACACACCACCGCCTCGCTGGCGTCTCTCTTTGACCGCCACATGGAGGAGCGACAGCAAGCCGGCGACCCACCTGTCCCTGCCATGCTTTTACAGGCGCCTCAGAATGCTGCTCTCTTCGACGGGCAGCTGGAGGAGTGCGGGGAGGCAGGGGACCTACCGGCCATCGCCATTTCATCTCCTTCCTCCTCCTCCGCCTCCGCCTCTCCTTCGCCGTCGCCGCACCCGATACCCGTGGCACGGCTGTGGTCCGCTCAGTCAGAAACAGCTGGAGCGGCGACAGCATTGCCAGCAGCAGCGGTTCCAGCAGCAGCAGAAGCGCCAGCAGCAGACATACCAGCAACAGCAGTACCCGCAGCAGCTGCCGCTACACCTTCTACTTCTGCCTCAGCTGCTTCTACCTCTCCATCTCCCCCCTCTACCAGTGCTGAGCCCAGCTTCGTTCCGACTCCACCCACCTCCTCATCCGCCTCTCCCTCTCTCCCCGCCCGCCCCTCCTCCCCTCCCCGCCTCTCCTTCCCCTCTTCTGCCTCCACCCCTTCCTCCTCCCTCCGTCCCTCCCCCTTGCCGCCCTCCCCCTCCTCCAAGCCCCCATCCATGCCTCGCCCCTTCCCTCCCTCCAGCCCCCGCTTCCGACCTTCCTCTCCCTCCCTCCCCCGCCCCTCCTCCCCCTCGTTTCCCCACCCCCCACTCTCCCCATCTCCCTCCTCCCGCCCATCCAACCTTCGCACTCTGTCTCGCCGCCGCCCGCCTTCCCCCCCACTCCCCTCCCCCTCCGCCCGCCCACACGCCCTCCGCCCCCTCACAGTGGCCGCTGCTGCCTCTGAAGGCTCCTCCTACTCCCCCCGCGCCTTCCCCCTCCTCTCCCCCCCAGCCTCCCCTCGAACCCGCTCCGCCTTCTCCCCTTCCTCTTCCCCTCCTTGCTCTCCCTCCCCCTCCACCGCTCCTCCTGCCTCTCAAACCTTCTCACTCCCTTCGTTTCTGTCCGACCGCTACCTGCCCTCTCCCTCCTCCTCCTCCTCCTCTGCTGCGGATTCAGAGCCCCCTTCCACTGCCCCGCCACCGCTGCTTGTATTGGACTCGCCTCCTACCTTGGCCACAGCAAATGGTTCAGGAACATCCTCAGGTGATTTTTCAAGTGGATCTTCAGGTGGATCTTCAGGCGGATCTTCCTCTTCAGCGCTGCGACCTGTGCCCCCTCCGCTCCCTGTGCTGGAGCCTCAGCAGCCAGCGTCCTTTGCCCGCCCTCTGCCTCTGCCACTCTCCCCCCCGTCGCCTGCTCAGCCTGACAACCAAGCGGCACTCACGAGCAGCGATGGCACGGCAAGCAGCAGCAGCACGGAACCACCCCTGTCATTGTTCTCTTCTGACCAAAAGCCTGGGGATGAGCCAGCATTAGTAACAGCAAGAACAACAGCAACAGCAGCAGCAGCAACAGCAGCAGCAACAGCAACAGCAGCAGCAACAGCAGCAGCAGCAGCAGCAGCAGCAGCAGCAGCAGCAGCAGCAGCAGGAAGCAGCGGCAACAGTCATACCACTGAGAGCATGCAGTTGCCTCCACTCTCTGAGGTGTCACCATCCAGCCACACTGACCCTGTTTACCCCACTGACTCCGTTGTCCCTGTTGACCACGTTGACCCTGTTGACCGCGTTGACCCTGCTGCGGACCTACTGTTGCCTGCTATGCACGCCTCTGAGCCTGCTGGCATGGGGAAAGGGAGTGTTGGAAGAGGGGAAGAGGTGGCATTGCCTGCGGCAGCTGCTGCTGATGGCTCAGAGGCAGTGGCAGGGGCAGCAGTGGCAGGGGCAGCAGTGGTAAGTGCAGCAGGTACAGGAGAAGGGGGTGCTGAAATGGGGGGTGAGCCAGCACTGCCTGTTGCATCTGTTGCTGCTGCTGCTGCTGCTGCTGCCAGCACGGTGGCAGTGGCAGCGGCAGCAGGGTGTGCTGCTGCAGTGGTGGGTGGTGGCAGCAGCAGGCCTGACAGGCAGGTAGGTGGTGCTGGCAATGTTCAAGGGGTAGAAGAAGGCAGTGGCAGCAGCAGTGGCATTGGTGTGGAGCAAGCGGATGTGCTGATGGTGGTGGATGAGGAGGGGAGATGGGGAGGAGTGGAGGGTGGGGAAGAGGAGAGTGAGGAAGACAAGCCAGGGAAGGCACCTGCCACTGGAACAACGGCAGAGCCTGTTGCCACTGTACCAGCGGCAGAGCAACTTGACACCGCAGCAGCGCCACTCGTGGAAACTGCAGCAGCAGCAGCAGCGACAGCCGCAGTCAGCAATGCAGGGGGTGATGGCAGCATGGGGGCTGGCAGTGAGCCTAGCAGCAGTAGTGAGCCTGAGCTGACGTTTAGCACTACTGTCCCGACAGGCAGCAGCAGAACCAGCAGCAGCAGCGCAAGTGAGGACGCAGGTGTCGCGAGCAGCGCCTCGTCATCTGTCCCTGCAGGCCCAACCCCCCATGTGCCTCTGTATCGCCCCAAGGCCCCTCCCCCCCTCCCACTCTCCCCTCGCCCTCTCTCTCCCCTCCGTTCCAAGCAGTATCTTGCCCTTTACTCCTCCCCTCCCATGTCTCCCGACCTGAAGAAGCAGCAGCAACAGCAGGCCGCTGGCAGAGTGGCCTCCCCCCCTCTCGCTCCCCGCCCCCTCTCTCCCCTCCGTTCCAAACAGTATCTCGCGTTGTACTCCTCACCTCCCATGTCTCCGGACCTCCACAAGCAGCAGCGGCAGCAAACGGAGCAGCAGCAGCAGGTGGCTAGGCGAGTGGCCTCTCCTCCTCTCTCCCCCCAGCAGCAGTCGGTTCGCTCGCCCTCGCCTCCCCTCTCCCCCCAGCAAACCCCTGGCATGCTTCGATCCCTCTCCCCCCACCGCCACCGCTTTGCCTTCTCAGCGGCCTCAGCAATTGATGCTGCTACAAACACTGCTGCTGCCATTGCTTCTCCGGCGGCTCCCACCACGGTTGTCACAGGTGCTGTCATGGGCAGTATTGCTGCGAGCCCTGGTGCACCAGGGTTTGCGTTTGGTGATGCTGTTGCTTGTAATGATGCTGCTGCTGCTGCTGCTGGCGATGCTGTTGCTTCTGGTGATGCTGCTGCTGCTGGTGATGCTGATGCTTCTGGTGATGCTACTCTTGAGGCTGCTTCAAGTGGTGGTGGTAGTGTAGCGGTTGCAGGAGCAGTGGGAGGCGAGGGGGCAGAAGAAGAGGAATGTAGAGCTGAGATGGGTGGAGGTTTGCAATCCAGGCCAAGGGAAGATGCAAGGGGGGGATCAGCACAAGGCGACGTTGCAGCAACTGCAGTTGCAGCAATAGCAGACAGGGAGGTTGGAGGCAAGGCAGCGAGACCAGATGGGTGTGACGTGGCAGAATGTACTGCTCCAGGTGCTGCCTCTGATGACATCAGCAGGCCTACCCGTGACGTGGCAGGCATGGAAGGGCCACCAGCATCAAATGCAGAGGAGGAAGGGGAGGAGGAAGAGGAGGAGGAAGAGGAGGAGGAAGAGCAGGAAGAGGAGGAGGAAGAGGAGGAAGAAGAGGAGGAAGAGGAGGAGGAAGAGGAGGAGGAAGAGGAGGAGGAGGAGAAGAAAGGAAAGGAGTCTGTTAATGGGAAGGTAGTGCACTGCGAGGCTGCTAGAGCCTCACCGTTCCCAGTCAATAGTGCTGCTTCAACCGCCACACACACCAGCATGGGTGCCTCACCTCCTGCTGATTCTGACTCGACCCAACAACAAACTCCCCCTGATGCCGCTGCCGCTGCTGGGGCCACTACTGCGGCTGCAGGTGCGGCTGAAATTTCCCCGGCTTTCCAGCGAAGTGGCAGCCTGGAAACGCCCGTGCCCATGGCATGGCCCCTCCCACCTCCTCTGTCCAGCCACGACGGCAACAGCTTTGTTGATGCGCACAGTGGCAGTGGCGGTGCCAGCGACGACACCCACCGAGGGGCGGACCAGGAGACAGCAGCAGCAGCAGCAGCTGTTGGCGTGAAGGGCGGCAGGGTGAAGGGCCTGGCATCCATGTTTGATGAGAGGGGTGAGTGGTGCTCGAATGAACGCCGTCCTTTCCGCTTCTGTTTGTGCTTCCAACAGTGTCACATCGTTTCCACACATCTCCATGCTCCTTGTCCCACTCTCTGTGCGTTTTCCAACCGTCTCTGTACTCGTTTCGCCTCTCTTCCCGAACCACCCTCTCTCCCAAACCAGTTGCCACCAAGACCCAGCCTGCTCCTTTTATCTGCACCACCAGCACCACTTTTCCCCAGCCACGTGTGCGACCATCCTCACAAGCTTCCTCCCACCCACTGTCCCACACCTCCCCAGAATTCTCCCCAATATCCTCTGCCCACGTCTCCCTTCAATCTTCCCCTGAGCCTTCTTCCCCCAAGCCATCTTCCCCCAAGCCATCTTCCCCCAAGGCAACCTCCCCCAAGGCGAGCCCCCAGCAGCAGCAGCAGTCTGTGTGGTCGTCCCTGCTCTCCATGGCATGGCGCCCCTCGTGGAGCTCTCCGCAGCGTGCTGCTCCTGTTGACTCCTCCCAGCCAGGCACTGCTGCTGCTGCTGCTTCTGCCACGATTGCTGCTGCGACAATCTGCGCTGCCACAACTGCTGCTGCTGCCGCTGCTTCTGATGCTGCTGCTGCTTCTGAAGCTGCCGTTGATTCTGAAGCTGCCGTTGCTTCTGAAGCTGCCGCTGCTACTGATGCTGCCGCTGCTTCTGATGCTGCCGCTGCTTCTGAAGCTGGCAGTGCTGAGAGGGCAGGTGAGGTCTGCAGCACGGCGGCAGCTGCTGCTGCAGAGGGTGGTGAAGACAGAGGGAGAGCGGGTGACCATGTGGTTGGGGAGGGCAATGCTGGTGACGGTGGGTCGGTGGAGCATGACAGCGGTGCTGGTAGTGATGCTGAGCCGAGGGGCGCTCAGAGTGAGGGGGGGAGTGGGGATGTGAGTGGAGGAGTGAGTGAGGGTGAGGTTGCGGTTGTAAATAAAGGTGAGGGTGATAGTGGGAGTGAGGGAGAGAGTGAGGGTGAGGGTGAATGTGAGGGTGGGAGTGGAGGAGAGACGACTGCTGCAGTGCTGACAGGGCCTGAGCCCGAGGGTGAGAGGGAGGTTGTAAGTGAAGGGGAGTGGGAGGGCGAGAGTGAGGTTGAGAGTGAGGGTGAGAGTGAGGGTGAGGGTGAGGGTGAGAGTGAGGGTGAGAGTGAGGGTGAGAGTGAGGGTGAGAATGAGGGTGAGGGTGAGGGTGAGAGTGAGGGTGAGGGTGAGAGTGGGAATGGCATTGTCAGTTATGTTAGGATGGTTCGGTTTGACAGCTGTGCTCAAAGTTTCGGTCAGAGTGAGAGTGAGAGCGGGGATGTGAGTGGAGGAGTGAGTGAGTGTGAGGTTGTGAATGAAGATGAGAGTGAGGGTGAGAGTGGGGAACTGAGTGAGGGTGAGGGCGAATGTGAGGGTGGGAGTGGAGGTGAGACGACTGCTGCGGTGCGGGCAGGGCCTGAGCCCGAGGGTGAGGGGGAGGTTGTAAGTGAGGATGAGTGGAAGGGTGAGAGTGAGGTTGAGAGTGAGGGTGAGAGTGAGGGTGAGGGTGAGAGTGAGGGTGAGGGTGAGATTGAGGGTGAGGGTGAGAGTGAGGGTGAGGGTGAGAGTGACGGTGAGGGTGAGAGTGGGAATGGCATTGTCAGTTATGTTAGGATGGTTCGGTTTGACAGCTGTGCTCAAAGTTTCGGTCAGAGTGAGAGTGAGAGCGGGGATGTGAGTGGAGGAGTGAGTGAGTGTGAGGTTGTGAATGAAGATGAGAGTGAGGGTGAGAGTGGGGAACTGAGTGAGGGTGAGGGCGAATGTGAGGGTGGGAGTGGAGGTGAGACGACTGCTGCGGTGCGGGCAGGGCCTGAGCCCGAGGGTGAGGGGGAGGTTGTAAGTGAGGATGAGTGGAAGGGTGAGAGTGAGGTTGAGAGTGAGGGTGAGGGTGAGAGTGAGGGTGAGGGTGAGATTGAGGGTGAGGGTGAGAGTGAGGGTGAGGGTGAGAGTGACGGTGAGGGTGAGAGTGGGAATGGCATTGTCAGTTACAGTAGGATGGTTCGGTTTGACAGCTGTGCTCAAAGTTTCGCCCGGAGTGAGAGTGAGAGTGTGGATGTGAGTGGAGGAGTGAGTGAGTGTGAGGTTGTGAATGAAGATGAGAGTGAGGGTGAGAGTGGGGAACTGAGTGAGGGTGAGGGCGAATGTGAGGGTGAAAGTGAGGGTGGGAGTGGAGGTGAGACGACTGCTGCGGTGCGGGCAGGGCCCGAACCCGAGGGTGAGGGGGAGGTTGAGAGTGGGGATGAGGGTGGGAATGACTGTGAGAGTGACGGAGAGAGTGAGGGAGAGCGTGAGGATGGGAGAGGAGGAGAGCGCACTCCTGCAGTGCGGACGGGGTCAGAACCCCAGGGTGAGAGTGAGCCTGAGAGTGGGGATGCGGTGAAGGTTGTAAGTGAGGGTGATAGGGAGGCTGAGAGCGTTGGTAAGAGTACACTCAAGGGGGAAGGTGTGAGTGAGTATGAAAGTGAGGGTGAGGGTGAGGGTGACTTGAAGGCTGAAAATGAGGCTGAGGGGGAGGCTGACAGTGGAAGTGCGAGTCAAGGTGCAGGGGAGATTGTGAGTGGGTATGAAAGTGAGGGTGAGGGGGAGTTTGAGAGTGAGTATGAGAGTGGAAGGGAGAGTGAGGCTGCGAGTGAGGGTGTCAGTGGAGGAGAGAGGGCTGCTGCAGAGCAGGCAGAGTCTGAAGCGGAGGAGCACAGCACATGCAGTGCCACGCAAGGGGATGAAGGAGAACGGCAGCAGCGGTTGGAGGGAGCGGGTGCAGCAGACGTGTGTGCCCAGCTGGTGCGGGGAGCCGATGGGAGTGGAGGAGAGGGGACTGCTGCTGCAGGGCGGACAGGGCCTGAAGCCGAGGAGCTCAACGTGCCCCGCGGGGAGGATGACCCACGAGGGGGAGTGGGTGCGGCGGACGTGTGTGCCCAGCTGGTGCTGCGTGCTGGTGGGAGCGTGGAGGAAAGGGAGAGAAAGGAGAGTTTGGAGAGGAGGGTGGAAGCGGATGCAGAGGCAGAGGCAGGGAGCGAGGAGGCTCCAGTGACTGATTCAGAAGAGGAAATGGCAGAGAAAGCAGAGAGCTTGGGTGAACATGAGGCGAGGGAAGAGGGGCAGGAGGGAGGCGATGGGGCAGCGGTTGCGGCTGCTGCTGTGCCCTTGCGGGAAGATGCACGGAAGGTGCTGGAGGTTCCGGAGGTTTTTCTGAGTGGGAGAGCTGAGGAGGGGAGAGAGGGGAGGAGTGAAAGGGAGAGGAGGGATGAAGGAAAGGGGAGGAGTGATGGGGAGGGGAGGGAAGAAGGGGAGGGGAGAGAAGGAGGAGAGGGACTGGTTGTAGTGGTGGGAGGGGAAGAAAGGGGAGATGAGGCGGTAGGGAAGGAGGAGGTGGAGGGGTTAGCAGTGGGGAGTGAGAAGGGGGAGAGTGGGGATGGTGTGAGGGAGGAGGAAGATGAGGATGACAGTGGGGGGAGTGATGAAGGCGGCGAATATGAGGGGGGGGAGTGTGGTGGGCGAGAGGATGGGGAAGAAGAGGGGGAGTGCGTGTCTGAGGAAGGAAGCACGGGTGATGTGGATGGTGATATGGATGGTGATGTGGATGGTGATGTGGTTGGTGACGTGGATGGTGATGTGGAGGGTGACGTGGAGCTGGACGTGGGTCAGCTACAGCGCGATATCGAGGCAGTTCTTAAGGAGGCGTTCAAGCTGAGGGGCAACGGGTCGGATGGGGTGTGGCGTGTGACTGTAGTGCGAGATGGCAGCAAGGAGGGGAGCGTGGTGGAGGTAGATGTGGGGGAGGTGGATGGGGGGGCAGATGCTGATGATGAGGGGGAGGATGAGTCAGAGGAAGATGATGAAGAAGAGGACGACGACAGTTATGGGGGGGAGGAAGAGGAGGACGAGGAGGAGGAGGAGGAGGAGGAGGAGGAGGAGGAAGAGGAAACAGAAGAGGAGGAAGGGGAAGCGAGTGGGGAGGATGGAGAGTGCGTGGAGGACCAGGCAGGATCATGTGAATCAGCAGAGGCGTCAGCCACAGGGCCTGCCGCAGCCATCTTGGCAGCAGGTGTGGCTAACGGAATGCCGGTAGTGCACGCAGCAGGTGCGGCAGTGGCAGGGCGAGTGGGAGTGGAGGAGGGGAGTGAGAGCGAGGAATTCGTGGATGCACAGGGGGGGTCAGACGGATCAGGGGCATCAGAGGGGTCTGATGGACGTGGAGAGGTGGGGGAGAGAGAGGAGGAGGATGAGAGTGGAGTGGGCGAGGAGGCACGGGGCGAGGACGGGGAGCAGCAGCACCGCTCCAGCGTGCATGGCCCACCTCCTTCCATGCCACCTGGCCCAGCAGTTGCTGCTGCTGCCACTACTGCCCCTCCTGCTGCCCTGCCAGTTGTCGCTGCCGCCCCTCCTGCTGCTGCTGCCCCCATTGCCAGCAGCGGTTCTGTGGCCGACATTCCCACAGCTCGTGACGCCGCCTCCGCTGCACCTCTCCCCGCTCCTTCTTCCCCTCCCAGCCTCCCCCCTCCTCCCACTGACACCCCTGTCCCCGCTGCCTCCTCCCACTCACCACCCCCAGCAACTGTATCATCACCACCTGCAGCAGCAGCAGCAGCAGCAGCAGAAGCAGCAGCAGCAGCAGCAGCAGCAGCAGCAGCAGCAGCAGCAGCAGCAGCAGCAGCAGCGGTTGCAGCATGCAGTGAGTTTGCAGAGGGCTCTGGCAGTACTGGCAGCATAGACCATGTTGCCAGCCCTGAAATCGCTAAAGACGTGGAGGAGACTCAAGGTGTTGAGGACACGAGGGACGTTGGCAGCATAGTCAGGAGCAAGGATGCGGCAGACACTGGAAACACAGTCAATGTTGACAACAGGGGCAACATGGACAGTATCTACAGCACGGGCGGCATAGAGAACATGGAGGACGTGGAGGATGCAGCGTCTGACAGCTCGTCGCTCTACATGGACGCCAACATGGACCGCTTCAGCATCGCCTCCTCCCTGCACTCCTCCTCCTTCCGCACCACCGCCTCTTCACTTTATGGTGACACTGCCAGCTCCATTGCCGGCTACCAGACCCCGCCCACCTTCCCGCCCTCCCCCGCCTACTCCTTCTCCTCCGCCCCCTCCCCGTCCCGCCTCTCCCTCATCTCCCGCGCCTCCTTCCCCTCCTCCCCTTTTCCCCCCTCCCTCTCCACGCCACAGCTCTCCCCCCCTGATTCCCCTGCATCCGATGTCCTCTTTTCTGCCCGCGAGTTCTTCACCCCGCGGGCCCACTCCCCCTCCGCTGCTTCTGTGCGCTCAGACCAAGGTTTCCTCAGCGCTAGGGGGGACAGCGATGGCTTTCACACCCCTCTCCACAGCCTGCAGGCACCCTCTCCCCGACGGAGCCTGCAGTCACCCTCTCCCCGTTACAGCCTGCAATTTCCGTCTCCACATCGCAGCCTGCAATCACCCTCTCCGCGTGGCAGCCTGCGCACGTCAGCACCGCGCGACGGCTTCCACTCTCTCACTCCCCGCAGTGCTCTCCGCTCTCTCTCCCTGCAGCCCAAACGACCCTCTCATGCCGCTGCCGATGCTACTGGTGCCGGGAGTCAGGCGGACTTAGACAGCAGAGGCGAGAGAGGCAGTGATTTGGGAAATCAAGGAAGGGGAGGCGGATTAGGAGCAGTTGAAGCAGAGGGCAGTGGGGCCGGGAGGGCCGAGTGGGGTGTGGTTGCCAGGGCGGAGCAGCAGAGCTTGGCGCAGCAGAGGCTGGGGGGAGAAGGGGCGGCGGCAGGTGAGTTGGAGGAGAGTGAGGATAAGTACGTCGTGGCTGAGCGACCTGCTGCTGGCCACTTGCAGCGCGTGCAGCAGGAGCAGCACCAGGAGGAGCGGGAGCAGGAGCAGGAGCAGGGAGAGGAGGAGGAGGGTAAACAGGCCATAATGCATCAGAGCGACATTCCAGCTTTATCTGAATCCTCTTTGTCCTCGTTAGCAACTGTTCCAGCAGCAGCCTCTGCTGTCGTTCCTGTGCCTGACCCTTTCTCCTGTGACCCCGCAGCATCTCACCCCTCTCCCCAGGAGCCTGCTGCTAGCGATTATGGTCCTCCTGAACCTGCTGCTGCTTCTTCTGGGGAAGACTCCAAATGGAAGCTGCCAGGAAGGAGCCTGTTTGGTCTGTTTGCACGAGCTACGAGCACAAGTGCCAGCAGAAGTGGTGGTCGGGAAAACGAGGGTGTGGGGGATGGGGAGGAGGGGCAGAGGGAGGGGAAAGGGGATGTGGATGTAAGTGTGAGGGAAAGAAGTAGCGTTGAACACGAGGATGAGTTTGCGAGTGCTCAGGGCATGGAAGCAGGGAGACCAGAGGAGGATGAGCAGAGGGAGGCAGTGGAGGGGAAGGAAGGAGATGAGGAGAGGAGGGCTGATGGGGAGCGGGAAAAAAGAGGGGAGCACGAGGAGGCAGGGGAGGTGCGAGTGGAAGTGTCGGAAGGGGCAGACAGTGTGGGAGGGCAGGCGGAGCACCTGCCTGCTGGTGAAGCAAGTGCATCTTCTGCAGCCGCTGCTGCTGCTGCTGCCGCTGCTGCTGCTACTCTTCCTCACCATCCTGCTGCCACTCTCACTGCACCCCCTGCTGCCTCATCCGGCGCCCCTGGGCCTACTGCTGCACCACATGCACCAACACAGCAGTCAGCGCCAGCTGTGCCTTCCAGCCAGGAAGCAGCGGCGGCTGTGGGGGCCATGGAAGGGAGCCGTGGAGGGGCAAGGGAGGACCCACGCTTCAGTGGTGCTGTGGCGGGCCAGGGGATTGTCGCTCAGGGGTCGGGGACATCACAGGCTGCAAAGCAAGCAGCAGAGGAGCGCTCCCGGCAGCTGCAAGAACCGCAGCAACTGGTGCAGCAACAGCCAGAGAAACACTTTCACGAAAACCCTGAGGTGCAGTCCTCTGCAGCAGCACCAGCAGCGCTGGCAGTGCTGCCAGTAGACGAGTTCCTTCTGAGGCGGCGCCGCAGGGATTCTCTGCTGCAGTTCTCTCGCTCCGCCAACACCTCGCGCTCCGCCAACACCTCGCGCTCCGCCCTCACCTCTCGTGCTGGCCTCAGCTCCACGCGGCCTGCTCCTACCCTCTCTGCCACCACCGGGGGTGCTGCTGCCCCTGCTGGCACTGCTTCTGGAGTGCATCGCGCTCGTCTGCGGCCTGCTGTGTCCATCGGCGGTGCGGCACCAGCTGCTGGGGAAGGCTTGCCGCACCCACCAGCAAATCATGAAGGCGCACAGGCAGCCGTGGCAGGTGCAGGAGGGAAGAATGGTGCTGCTGGCAGCAGTAGCGGGCTGGAAGGGATGGGGGCTGCAGACGAGACAGCTCCCGGCATGGAGTGGAGTGGAGGCCTGCAGGAGGGTATTGAGGAGGGGGAGGAGGGGGAAGAGGAGGTGTTGCAGGCGCTGAGGGTGCGGAACCGGCAGGGCGAGTGGGAGGAGAGTGAGGACTTCCGGCCGCAGTGCTTGCAGCAGCCGCAGTGCATGCCTTCCCTGCATCTGGCGCGGGAGGGCGGGAGGGCACAGGGAGCCGCTGATGGAGGGGGGAAGCAGATGAAGGGCAGCAGGGGGGAGCAAGCAGAGCGACAGACGAATGAGGACGATGATGACTCGGTAAGAGGAAGGAGTGCGTGTGGAGTCACGCTTCACTTGCGACATCCGTGCATGCATTTGGGTCCTGATGTCATGTTTATTTGCCTCTGTCTACGGTTCCATCCGTCCCATTTATTCACCGAACGTAACCAAACCCACCCACGTTGCGCTGCCCTCAGGAACCTGAGGAGCAGCTGCTGAAGCACCGTGGTGCTTCCTCTTTCGCCTGCTGCTTCCGGCCGGCTGTGAGGGATTGACGGCCACCAGCGAAGGCTCTTGGACTGTTAGCCTTGAGCTTCTCACTAAGGGCACACCTCATCAATGTACAGCAGGGTAGTAGCTGATTACGTGACTGTAGAGCCGCTTGGTTGGTACTGGTGAAATTGCTATAGGATGTACGTTTCTGTGATTAGAGTGTATTTAATTATCAGCAATGCAAAGAAGATTATTGATTTCTGTTAAAAAACAGAGCCCCCTCACAGAGCCCCCTGAAAATTCCCGTTTGTCCTTGATGTGAAAGTTGCTTACATATTACAGAACCCTCCACTTATTTTGCTAGCATAAACTGTGAACAAACACTACACTAGTAGTTACAAGACACAAGCTCACCAGCTTAACCTGAGGCCACACTCCCAGCGGCCGCAGGTTTCACCGACCCTCCTCTGGACCGGGTCCCCTGGTGACGTATCTGCGTTCCACATCTGGGGCTGCCTGCCTCGCTCACGTTCGTGCCTTCTGGCACGGACAATCTCACTGCCCGCACTGTCCCTTGGATCTTCCTTGGCTCCCCCCTAGACGCGTCTGACTCGCACTTTTACCACCCGCCGTCTCACCGTTTCTTTTAACGAGACGTCACTTTTAACGAGTCTGTCTCCTTCTACACCCGCTTTCCCCACCGAGGTCTCCCGGTTACCACGCCCCTGTTTCTGGTTCCCACTCCCGCGGTAGCCCCTGCTCCTCTCTCTCCCCGTCTTGCCCCATCTGGTGTGTCTCACATCACTCCCCTCCCATCGGTTGTCCTGGTAGAGGAGTCGGTTGACGCTGGGGGGCCCTGCGGCTCCGGTTTCGTCGCCTGTCTCAACCCCGGTGTCTCCTTTGTTCAAGCGAAAGGATGTCTAGAACAAGGCATACAAGGGAATATAACCTTTTGGGTTGTACTCCCTAAGGCACAACCCTATATAGTCTACAGAAACATACAATATATGTTTGACACACCCCCTAGACTGGATAAGAGCAATGCCCGATGAGAGAGAAACAGCTCAGGGTGGCACTACTAGTCCAGCCTTTGAGGCAGGGGTCTAAAGACCAGTCAAACAAGTACAGACAAGACAAGAGCAAGACCAGGGTGGCACTATTAGTCCAGCCACTGGCAAGAGGCCACAAAGCCAGTCAAGGTAATATATATAAAGTTCTGTACACAATCAAGGTCCTAGCAAGTGAGAGGCTACATGAACCAGACCTAGCTATGCACAGTGCCGCTGATGATCTTTAGGCGCAAGCGCCTTAGTAAAGACATAAGCTTTGTTGACACCTGAGGCCAAGTGTACTACACGAGCCTGGCGACGCTGCTGCAGCTCGCGTAGTAGGAAGTACCGCAGCTGGATGTGCTTCGCTCTGCCCTCAAATCGTGGCTCCTGATACATGAGGATCATGGCCCTGTTGTCAGCGTACAGAACCCAAGCAGAGCTAGGCCGCTCACCTTAGTCGGTGAACAAGAAGGTCAGCCAGCGGAGCTCCTGTGCCGCCATGGCACCTACGTAGATCTCAGCCTCACAGCTAGACTGGGCATCAGACGACAAACGAGTGGACCTCCACGAGATGGCGCCTGTACCAAGGCTAAAGGAGTAGCCCTAAGAGGACCTAAGAGTCTTGGCGGCGTCTGCCCAAGAAGCATCTGTGTGCCCGGTAAGGACCACTGGTCTCCGTCCTCCTAGCACTAGCCCCATGCCCGATGTACTTGCTAGATAACGCAAAACCCTCTTAGCTGCCGACCAGTGCTGTGGTCGGTGTCTGCCTGGGGCTACAAAGCGAGCCAGGATGCTGAGAGGGTATGCAAGATCAGGACGAGTGCAAGTCATCAGGTACATGAGGCAACCCACCAGCTCTGCGTAGGGACCACTAGGCTCTACAGCCTCCTCTGGGACTGGGGCTGAGATTTTGTGGTCTACTGACAGAGGGTTGGGCTGTGCGGAGGAGCCACTCGGTGCCAGGGGGAAAGGTACCGGAGAAGCCATGGGGGCGGCGCAGGTAGACCTGCTCGTGTAGACTGCCCTGGAGGAAAGCTGTGGAGAAGTCGAGGGAGTGCAGCTCATAGTCACACTGTGCTGCTTCGTGTAGCAGCGCTCGAAGAGTGGTCATCTTCGGGGTCGGGGCGAAGGTCTGAAAGAAGTCCACCCCCTCACGCTGACTGAAGCCTCGAGCGACGTAGCGCGCCTTGAAGACAGGCGGCTCTCCAGGAGGGCGCTTCACCTTGAAGACCTAACGGCCATCGACTACGTTCACCCCAGGTGGGGGAACTGCGTCGACGAAGGTACCGGTGGATCTCCAAGATGCCATCTCCTGCTCCATGGTAGCTATCCACTGAGAGGCCCACGGTCTTGAGGTGGCCTGAGCGTAGGTGCGAGGGGCCGCGATGTTGAGGGCGTTTGGGTCACCCTCATAGACTAGTAGCATGGAAAAGAGATGGGGAGCGGCCTCAGACAGGAAAGCGAGCTCGAATTACCTGTCCTCTAGGACGTCACTGCCAAGAGCAGCCACACCCCTGATGGTCGGAGGGCAGGCAGGGTCAGAGACCAGAGCGGTGCCATAGTCCAGGCGGCGGGTAGCGGCGAAGTGAGTGACAGCAGCGACAAGAGCCAATAGACTCGAGACAGGAACGGACGGGTCGGTAACGAGAGAGGCAAGGACACGAGGAACAAGGGGACGCACAGCACGGAGGAAGTTCGAGAACGGAGGCGGGGCCACAAAAAGCGACGACGGAGGAGGAGACACAGGAGGAGAATGGGGAGGGAAACGAGCCGGAGAGGAGTCCGGGGGAGGAAGCATGGGGCCGTGGACCGGCAGAGGAGGAGGCGGTGGTAGCGGGGGAGGCAGCGACGGGCGGTCAGGGGAAGGGAGACCGAGGAGGTGAAGAGCGGACACCGGCGGTAACAGCTGCGACTGCTGCCCGACTTTAATACCAGAACCTCGAGCGACAACACGGCTCTCTCCGAGAGGCCCCACGCCAACACCCCCAGAGCCAGCTCCAGAACCAGCTCCATCCCGCTCCCCAGCACCCCCAGAACGCACGAACCCCAGCGGCGGTCACGACAGCGCCTGCGGCGGCAGCGGCGGAGGCGGCTGTGGTGGGGATAGCAGCGGCGGCAACAGGGGAGGCGAGACCGGGGCAGGGACAGGCGGGGGAGGAGACTCTGCAAATCCGCGAGGATCAGCGGACTCCTCAGCACGAACAACCGACGGGAGGGGGGTGACGTGAGATACACCAGACAGGGCAGGGCGGGGAGGGGGGTGGACAGGGTCGACCGGGGGAGGGGGGGGCACCAGGAACTGGGGGGGAGTGACCGGGGAACCACGGCGGGGAAAGCGGTGGTAGAAGGAGACAGACTCGTCAAAAGTGACGTTACGAGGGTGAAGGCGGGTGGTAGAACTGCCACTCCGACGAGTCGAGGGGGAAACCTAGGAAGACACAGGGGACAGTGCGGGCAGTGAGCTTGTCCATGCCAGAGGCATGGACGTGTGCAAGGCAGCCCCAGACGTGGAACGCAGATGCGTCACCAGGGGACTTGGTCCAGAGGAGGGTCGGTAAATCCTGCGACCACTGAGGGTGTGGCCAGAGGTTAAGCTGGTGAGCGACATAGCGAACGGCGAAGGGCCACAGAAAATGGATTGCACCGGCATGGATCATGGAGGTACGAGCCACTTCCATGACCAAACCGATGCGTCGCTCAGCGACCCCAATTTGCTGCGGGGAGTCCGGCAGGGTGAACGTGTGGGTGATGCCCTCCGCACGACAGAAACGACCAAGGCAGCCAGAGGCAAACTCGCCAACACGGTCGGAGTGAAGACACAAGACAGGGAGACCTCGGTGAACACGCGCAGAGACAAGCTACGGGATAGGAACGTCAGGCACGTCGGCCTTCCACTCCAAGGGAAAGTCGGTGGTATAGCGGGTATAGTCGTTGACAAGCACTAGGAAGTGGCACTCGCGACGCGGCCCATGGACGGGGCCAGGGCCCCAGACGTCCATGTGCAGGGTCCGCACTGGTGCGGAGGTAGGGGGGAACGAGGAGGAGTGAGGGGCACGGCGAAGCCGGCCCTCGGCACAGGGCGTGCACAGAGGCGTGGGTGAGGAGGGGAGCGCAGGGAACGACTCAGGGAGGCCTAGGACAAGACGGTGCTGGGACATGTGATGGAGACGGGTGAGGGTGGGGTGACCTAGGACGGTGGTGCCATAGAAGTGACGGGTGAGTAAGCGACCGACACGAGCACGCCGCAGCAACCTGGGAAGACGGAGGTACCTAGGGAGGCGTCCCAACCGGGGGCGAAGCGGTATCCAGCGTGAACAGGCCAGACACCAAGTCCCAGGGGAACGTGGTGAGGGGGGCACCAGTGGTGGCCTCAGTACAGACAGCGTACCGCTCGTGCCCAAGGAACATAGTGGTGACGCCAAGGCCCTGGAGGCAACCGACACCAACTAGGTTCCTAGAGAACGAGGGGATGTGCAGGCCTGTAAGGGAGCCTGAAGGAACCGCCGGACAGGGGAGAGTAGTGGAGCTACGGGCAACTACAGGACCGGAGGAAGGGTCTGCAAGAGCAACTGCAACAGGAGCGGCAAGCGGCGTGGAGTCGCGAAAGAAACACTTGGAAGTGCTGGGGTCCAGGGTAAAGGAGAGCGCGGCAGTGGTCGGAGGAGGAGCGAGGGAGGACCCTAGGCTAAACAAGGCAGGGGATCCTACGCCTGATGCAGCAGGGGAGCCTGAATTAGGCACACTGGGCACACCTAGGCTAGGCAACACAGGGTAATAGGAACCAGTCACACTAGAGTCATCAACATACAGGACATACAAAGCAGAGCTAATCTCATCCATGTCCATATCAAAGATCTGAACACGACGACGGAGCACTGTGCCAGCCGGGGAGGTCAGGCGACTTGCCGAAGCAGAGACGAAACAGGTCGTCTAGGCAACGAAAGCAACGAGTGGGGGTATGAGCGATCTTACCGCACACGAGGCCGCGGCGAGGACCGGTGTGGAGCTGGTACTGGCAGCGCCCGTCACTCTGACTACCACCCGACAATACGCCGCGCGAGCGACCACTGCGACCACCGTCACCTCTAGCTCAAGGCCACCGGGGCGGGAGACGGCCGACCCTCCGTTGCTGCTGCTGCTGCTGTGCCTGCTGCTGCTGCTGGGGCTGCTGCTCCGGGGCACCAGCCCCAGCCCCCCCGTCAGTACTACC